AATTTTCTGTCATTTTCTCTGAAGTTGGTGAGCTTGATTAAAGTTGTGTCTTTAAATTAGAACAAAGGCGAGTGTGAGGTAACTGACGTCAGCTCTACATCATTTGTCAGCGGAAAAAAAGACTCGCAATGCATGACAGTTAAAATATTTTTTATTTTTTTTATACAAAATATTTACAAACTTGTAGTTATTAACATGGTTAAATATATGTAAGGGAACTCCTAATGTGGTTTTAATATTTAGAGAAAAAAAGATCATGTTAGTTGATCGGTAAGATATACGGGCTATGGGCCCCGCCATTATTTGTTTACAACACTGATGGAGAGTTGGACTTGGAGCCTGCTGGATTTACAACATGCAAGATCATCCATGTCTCCCGAAATATATGACAGTAACCCCCGCTTCACTGCATCTCACGCGACGCTCCTGCTTGAGGCTCACGCGCTGCTCCTGCTCCTGGTGTGAATCCACTCATTGATTAACATGCACGCGTCGCTGACGCTTGCTGTGTGAAACGGCCGTTTTCTCTACAAGGTGTGTTTGACTCGAATAAATATTAATATTACATGTTTAAAAGGTTATTTTGCTGTTATAAATATTAGTGTGCAATAATAAACTATATATTTGTTATTGTGTAATGTAATTTAAAGTGAATGAAACCTAAAATAAACATTAAAATACACTGAACAGTTGTGATAATGATGAGAGCTGTGCACGTCCGTCTCTGGCTCAGTGCCAGTCAAAGCGGGAAAGCAGTAAAAGCTAAAGTTTGAAATTTTGAATTTAGCAGTTGATCACGTGATTCACTGAACGTTCTAATCACACCGGTGTGATCGTACGCTCCAGGGACCAGCCAAGACTGATCACACCGGTGTGATCGTACGTGTCAAAGGGTTAAGGGAATAACATAGTTTAATAAGAAAAACTGGTGGAGTATCCCTTTAATGTCTCATTTAATCTACACCAAAGTCTGATCACGCATCAGCCTCAAGCTCTTCCATACTGTGACATTCAAATAATTTGAACTGAGATGGAATGACATCAGTCATCTGGGCCATGAGTGAGATCAGACCTGTGAATGTCAACAGATAGTAATTACAGTATTATGGTAATAAAGTATGAATTGGTCTGCACAGGCCCGCCCACAGAAATGACTGGGCCCCTGAAAAGGTCCAGTGAATGGGCCCTCCCCAAATCTGCAATAGGCTACTCATATCATGCGTGTGCTCTCTCTCTCTCTCTCTCTCTCTCTCTCTCTCTCTCTCTCTCTCTCTCTCTCTCTCTCTCTCTCTCTCTCTCTCTCTCTCTCTCTCTCTCTCTCTCTCTCTCTCCTACATTAACAAATACATTTAACTGAGAGAGACTTACTCAGTGATGGGGTCTTGTACACACACACACCCACACCCACACCCAGGGCTCTCAAGTGTCACGCATTGAGGATGACAGTCACTCATTTCGATCTTTTGTCACGCACTCCTGCCACACATTGTATTTCTCAAGCGGAAAAACGATTTATAATATATTTAATATGCCGCAGCGCCCAAAATGTCTCTGGCCGCGCCGCTCTCACTTTGGACCCGGCAGGAATCAAGCGCGTTCTGTGTTGTTAGTCGAGCTACACAAAAGCCGATCAGAAAATAGAACTATTGTATGGGTACGATTTAACGCAACAACCAATGAAAAAAAAAGAAAGAAAATTGTCATGAAACAACCCCATTCCCGCGACCTGTCCAACATCTAATGGTGTGTTCACACCGAACGCGAATAGAGCGTCAAATACGCGTCTATAGCGTCTAGTTAGACGCTTGAACATTCGCTCGAGTTCAAAGTTTTCAACTTGCACGGAAGACATTCGCTGCAAACGCGTCGCCCAATTCGCGTCATTCGCAACGCCCGGCGCGAATGATGCGTCTATTCGCATCTTTGCATTGACTTTGTATGTAATCTACTCGCACAAATAATTAAATTCGCGTTCGGTGTGAACACACCATAAGGCTGCCACTCTGCAGAAGCAAATTCCATCCTATCTTCGATAAGTTGGAGTAGTTTTAGCCGGACAGTGCACATGACAAACTGTAAATGACATGAAATATTCTCTCAGTCCTCGCGCATCTGATAAGGCCTCATTAGATAATTTACAGGACGATTTTAGGCAATCGATTGCTTCAATCACACTGGGGAGATGGTGTGCAATAGGTCTTACTTTTTCTTTTACTGTATATGGTCTTACCGCGTCAATTCGCGCACTCCATCGTGTGTCACTCACTTGCGCTGCGGACCGCGAACTGGCGCGAAGCACTGGCGTTTTGACTTTGCGTTACGTACAACAAAAAATAGCCTAACTCAGACCATTTTCAGGAGAGGGGTGTTTCATTATGAAACAGGCTACATTTTACTCAAGCAACATTAAATAAAATAAAAATTTTATTTTCAACAATAAATGGTGCTATTTTGGTTATAAATTAAATATGGTAACCTTTCCTTATATTTAGGATGAACATAATTATTGCTGGACTGCATAGACCTAAAACCAATCAGAGCGATGAAGGAGATGACATATGCAGAGCGGCGGAGAACATGTTGTTCTTTGCTCGGTTTTTAAATAAAAGGAAACGTTCAAATCGCTTAAAACAGACGCGATAGCTGATTCGAACGAGTGATGTTCGACAGCGGCATCCATCTTTGTAATGTAAGCTGCAAAATCTGCTTCAAAATCCCAGCGCTGTCGTCATCGTGTAAAGCCCGCCCCAACGTTTCTGATTGGTGCCTCGATTTCGACGGATTGGAAATGGGCTTGAATGAGCTCTTTGCCAGACAAACTTTCAGAGCAAATCTAAATTTGTCGGAAGTTGTCTGGGTTTTCCCAGGCTAGGTAGTCTGGATACCATGGACCAAATTTTCGCCTCATCTAAGGAACCAATCACAGAACGGGGAGGGAGCAGCAAGACGATGACGACGTCTATGCGACACACCGAAGCAGTTTGTTTATACGTTTATACCTATGGATCCAACATGGCAGCAGACGCGAAGGTACCTTTCGATGCAGCCTTATGGCCGTTTCACACATAGGTTTCTCACCGCAAGCGTAAGCGGCACTTGAGAAGCGCGTCAGCGTAACATCGTCACTGCAGCTGCAGACGCGTGAGAGTATTCACACTGGAAGCGTTTGTACAGTGTCACAGCAGCGGCTCCAAAGCTACATAAGCGAGCAATTCTTTAGGCCTACAAGGACAACTATACATTTGTTTTTAGAAGTTGGTCATTTATAACATTGATAGTCTTGAAAGTTTGTAATGGGGAGGTGTACAACATTCGCATATAAATGTTAAACAACAAAACAACCCAAAAAATGGCTCCAATCTAGTTTCAGTCATACTTTCGATATATTTACAAGACTGCAACTCCGCGGATAAAAAACAAAACACACAAATAAACCACACACTCTGGGTTGATTTGGGTTGTGCTAGCCTACCGTATGTAGCTGTCTGTGTGTTACATAAACTAAAAGAACGTTATATAATATTTTCTGGCTAGTTTACTTTAGTTTTTTATATATATATATATATATATATATATATATATAATACACAACTTTCACCCAAACTGAATAATTAAAAACAAGTTTTTACCGGGTAGCCTAAATCTTCTATTAATATTTTTGAGTCTTTATTTTCTTTTATTTGCCTACTCAAGTTCTTGTTAAAACTCACTAGACATGGTTATTCTGTGCATTTTGGGCACTTTTTGTGTGAAATCATATTTATTTTTGTCCATCAAAAGTGTGCTTTCACTTTAATTTAGCGTGAGCAGAGCAGCAAAAACAGATTCGACGCCGAAACCCCCGCGTCACTGCTGCTCATGCGCCGCTCCTGCTCGACGCTCATGCGCTGCTCCTGCTCCCGGTGTGAATGCACTCATTGATTAACATGCACACCGGAAAAAATACGCGCCGCTTACGCATGCGGTGTGGAACGGCCGTTAGATACACGCCATAATGTACACATAAATCTCTGACCCATCGTCTTCTTCCTCGTCAAATTTCTGTCGCTCTACATAGGCTACGTCATCTGGTATGATTGAAACGATTGGCTATGAGCTACATACAGGCGCATTTGATAGACATTCTTAGCACCCAATAAACGGCTCTGGGCATTCGTAAACCACGCCTCAAATACGACAAAATGAACATGTGGTTCCCAGACCTTAGCCAGGCTAACAGACTGTGGTCAGAGCAGCTCTTTGGTTATATTGTCTGCCATATACTCCAGGTGATGTTGCACAAACAGATAATGGTTTAACTCTCACAGGACAGCAGGGAGCTCAACACTGCAGTGTCTTTAAAAAAAGAAGAAGTTGAGGTCAAATTTATAAGGTGAGGTCTTCCCCTGCAACCTTACCATGCATTTCATAAAACCAGCCCATTAAACGGGATGGACAGCATTCCTTGATGACGGTTTGGATTTTGTTACACTTTGTTTTAGGTTTTTTTTTGTACTATCACTGAACTTTTAAGTATTGTTGACAAAGTGTGTCAAATGAATGTTGCATGTTGTTCATTCTACTGTTTGATGAATAGGCTTACTGTGAATTAAGGCATAGGCTCTTTTTTTAACATGTTCTTCGCCTTGATCAAAACATGAGTTGCAGGAATAAATGATTTAGTCTTGAGTTGTTTAGACATTCTTTTCCTTTATGGTTTAAAAATGATAATGAGAAATGCTTAGACACTTTGTGCAGTTGTATCAAATATTAAAATATATTTCCATAGCTTAGTGTTGCAGTGCATCACAGATTTTGTTGATATATTATGTCCACAAACCAACCAAGACATCTGCACTCACAAGTTCAGAAAGATGGAACAACTGTTGTTTAATCACTAGTTTCATGTAACAACATGTGGAAGGTTCTCATAGAGTACATTTATAATGACTCAACAGGTTTCTTTGTGTCACATGAATTTATACAAGTGATCCACCCATATTTAATACACCCTATAAATATTAAGACAGTCAGGTAATCTATAACAGAAGCAGCAGGAGCAAGAGAAAAGAAGAGGCTTCAAATCAAAAGGTAAACTGTCGTCCCGACATTTAAAACATTAAAGTAATAAATAATGAAAATAGAACAAATAATTTGATTGATTGTTTTATTTATCACATTTACATGTGCTTAATATGTTTCCACAGCTATGTTTCCATTGCTTCTGTTATCAGGTAAGACAAAGATTTCCATTAAATATTTTATCATCAAAATCGTAAATTGACATTTTTGTATAAGAGCGTGATTTAGCATTTGTCTGGTGACTGATAATGCAGTAATGTTTTTTTTTTGTTTTTGTTTTTTTTTGTACTATTTTGAGAATACAGTTAGAGTACACTGTCAGAGAATACAGTCAGAATGCAGAATAGAGTACACTTACCCATTTGGTCCTTGTTTTCTCATTTGAAAAATAAACTTGTCTTTAACAGGTTTTATCACCTTCACCTTGAGTCTCCCTCAGTATGTCTTTGTGAATGAATCCAAGACTTGGACAGAAGCTCAGAGATACTGTAGAGATAAATACACTGATCTGGCCTCCATTGAGAATGAACAACAGACGGTCCAGTTATTGGATACAGTGAATGATGATTCCATTGATTTGGCCTGGATTGGACTCTATGATGATCTGAACAGTTGGAAATGGACTCTAGAGGACAGTGATTTCTTCAAGGAAGGAGGGAAAGACTTCAGGAACTTTTATGACCAAGGACCAGACTATTATGGAGGACAAAGTGTGTGTGTGTTTATACACATGGGGATATGGTATACAACAAGCTGCTCCAATGCATTTTATCCTACTGTCTGCTATGATGGTAAGCTGTCAATAGAATGTCTAAGAAAGTAAACAAAAGTTTAACAGAACCAAACCAACCTCTCTCTGAGCTTAATATGATATTAATATCTTTCAGGAAGAGAAAACGCCAGTGATACTTTAGTTTTTATTTACCAGTCCAAAACCTGGACTGAAGCTCAGAGTTACTGCAGAAAACATCACACAGACCTCGTCAGTATCAGGAATGAGCCTGAAAACCAGAAGATACAGTATTTATTTCAGAATTATTATAATGTTTGGATTGGACTGTACAGAACCAGATCTTGGTCAGATCAGAGCAACTCTTCATTCAGTAACTGGACGACAGGACAGCCAGATACTCCAGGATCCTGCACTGTAGTCTCATTCAGTGACTCTGGGAAATGGACAGACGAAAACTGCAATTATGTATTTCCTTTCTTTTGCTACAGTGGTGAGTAGAAATCTGTCTTAATGGGCAGGCTGTCAAAAAAAATTGAATGCTATAAAACTGACACTTTCTCCACAGTGTCATCTTTGACATCATCACGCCAGTATCACTTTGTGAATGAGTCTAAGACCTGGACTGAAGCTCAGAGACACTGCAGAGAGAATTACACTGATCTGGCCACCATTGATAACATGGAGGAAATGAACAGTCTGATAAACACAGTTAATGGGAGTTATAATGGTTCAGCCTGGATTGGACTGTATGATGATGTGAACAGCTGGAGATGGTCATTGGAAAACAATGATTTCTATCAGGAAGGAGAGAGAGATTTCAGGAACTTCTATCCTGAACCAGACAACAGTGGTGGGAATGAACTGTGTGTTTACATGGAAAATAATGGAAAATGGTTTGATTCATCATGTGACTACACACTGCAATTCGTTTGCTTTGATGGTAAGGACATTTCTTTTTTCTTCTGTGAGTATTTCTGTGCGTCTATGAAATGTGTTGTATATTTCAAATCACAGGTAGAGTGAATGCTACACAGAGTTACATCAGAATCACTGATGGGAGAAACTGGTCAGAGGCTCGTAGATACTGCAGAGATCATTACACAGATCTCGCCAATGTGAGAAATCAGACTGAGAACCAGAGGATCCTTGAGACAGCAGGTGGATATGGAGTCTGGATCGGCCTGTACAGAAACAGGGTTTGGTCAAACGGTCAGATTACCAAATATGAAGACTGGAGACCACAAATTCCATATTCTTCACAGCAACCAGATAATGGTCAATATGGTTATGGCCAATGGTTTTCTCAGTTATGTACTGCAGTATCATTCAGCCATTTAGGCCGATGGACTGATGAGAACTGCTTATCCAGCATGCCATTCATCTGCTTCAACAGTGAGTTTATTTTTTCTCTTTTTTTTCCTTTTTTTTACGCAGACCAACATTTTTATAGACATTACAAAAAGTGTTATCAGAAGTCAATGTATATATATTTACTCATATATAATATACATTAAAAAATAAAATATTAAATTATATTTTATATAGATTTTGAAACAACTTACCACATGAATATTTTAATTTGCACCATGCAAAAGCTGTTTTTTCCAGTTAATATAAAATATACATATATATTTTTGGGGGTTCAAGCGCGTAGCGCTGAAACCCCATTGTAATTGTTAATTTTCCCATGATGCAGCATTCTCCATCTAAAATTGATCGGGCAGACCGAACCGTAAGTTGTAGATTTAGAAGTCGGATTTGCTCGTCACCCTGGGAAAATTTTCGGGTATTTTGGGTTTTTCCAAAACACGCTAACCACACGCTACCGTTAGTCCGATGAAAATTGGGATGCAGTGTCTTTGTCCAGGGTGCCATGATAGTTTATGAGAACATTGGCGTATCTCAAAAAACTCAGTATGCGTCATCAGCACAATGCCCTGAAGGAGCCTGAGAAGTTTCATGCCAGCGTTTTTCACGAAAGTGACCTCCTTAAACTCCTGAATCCTTGTCGAGTCCAGCGATACCAAACAGGCCAGGTTTCGCCTTATGGTTTGTGTAACGGTGTCATGTATTGCTTAAAAAAACTTGCGATTATCTTCGACACTGTTCAGTCAGATCGAGACAAAACATTGAAAAAAAAATTTAAAACATAGGTCAATAGCTAAACAATAACGTCAAAATGATGTCAAAACAAATGTAAAATTTATGATTGGAACTGACAAAACAATTCAATCAATGGATAATTTTTATGCTCTCATTAAAGTGTCTAAACTTCAAAACAAAATTAGATATTTACAACAAATTTGACACACATATGTATGGGCACACTTTGAGGACACCTAATAAAAGTGGTGGCGATCAGGCAAGACATGGTGCTATAACTGTCAAAAAAACATATTTTTCCTTAGTAAATTGCCTGTATTGCTGTAAATGGTCTTTTCCATCTGTGATCTAAGTTTATTTGTTTATTTGGATCCCCATTAGCTACTACCTAGGCAGTGGCTGGGGTCACAACAAGTAAAAAATACAAAAATACATTTAATCAACAACAATAAAAAGTCAAGTCAATGAAACATACTAACCCAACATTCATTCCAAATATCAAAATCAACAATTTACTATATATTGTGAATGAATGAATGAATGAATGAATGAATGAGGCATTTATATAGCGCTTTCATATGTACTACTGTACACCCAAAGCGCTTTACAATCATATCAGGGGGTCTCTCCTCAACCAGCACCAGTGTGCAGCATCCACTTGGATGATGCGACGGCAGCCACAGTACAACGGCGCCAGTGCGCTCACCACACACCAGCTATAGTTGGAGAGGAGAGAGTTATAGAGCCAATTCAGTGGATGGGGATCATTAGGAGGCCATGATTGGCAGGGGCCAATGGGTGGAATGTGGCCAGGACACCGGGGTTACACCCCTACTCTTTACGAGAAGTGCCATGGGATTTTTAATGACCACAGAGAGTCAGGACCTCGGTTTAATGTCTCATCCGAAGGACGAATATTGTGCCATTAAATGTCCCTTTAAATATATTTTTTAACTCATTTATCTTGTTAAAAAATATGTAATATCAAAGGTAAATCATTCCATATTTTCATTCCTCTATACATTACGCCGGGTTCACACCGGACGCTGAAGCGCCGCGGAAGCGGCGCGGAACGGAGGCCGCTTCCTTTCGGCGCCCATGTTAACCTATGGTGTCGTTCACACCAGACGCGGAGCGCCGCGGTGCGGCGCAGGCGGCACGCGCCGTGAAGCGCCAGTTTCGGCGTCTGGTCTATTTTTTCCGCGAGCCGTGAGTGATCCGCGTCAATTCCGGAAATAAGTTACACCAAGAAACACTCGACTATCCGGTCAATTGTCAAAATAAAAGCAATTTTCAAATTAAAATACCGCGAGTGACAAATGCGAACACACAAACAAACAGGGAAACAACGAGAGGGAGAGGCACAAACTTCTTGGTTACAGAAACATGGTGTATTTATATTATGAGGTTATTTACTTACCCATGATGTAAAAAAAAAAATAGCTCTGAATAAACAACTGAGCAGAAGCGCTTGTCGACCTCCGCGAAGAACACGCGTCTGGTGTGAACAGGCACGCGCCGGACCGCGCGTGAATTTCCGTTCCGCGTCGCTTCAGCGTCCGGTGTGAACCCGGCGTTACAGTCCGTTGTTTTGCAGTATTTTTCGAAACAGAAAATAAAAAAACATTGCTTTTATCCATGTCTGGTGTTAAAATTATGACTAGTACTACTATACAAAAGTTGAGAGTACAGGACATTAGGAACTCTAGACGCAGAAATATTTCTTATAAAACAAAGCATAGAGACAATCCTTCACAAGTGCATTCTTATTATACTAGCCCTATTTCAGTTTAAAGTGAGTCGTGTCGCTCTGTTCTGGACTAATTGTAATTTTTCAATTAGTTCATTTTTTTTATCTTTACTTGATGCACTCGACCACCACTGGCCAATAATCTAAGCAAGAACCATTGTTTGCACAATTTTAGAAATACAGTGTTGTGGTAAAAAGTTTACACATCTCTTAATAAGTGACAAACCTCTTCCCAAACCTGTTACCATATTTTCTGTTTGACCACTTCAGCCTACTGTCTAATATAACTCCAAGAAGTCTTATTTCCTCTATTTGTTCAATAGGCACACTCTTTACAGACAAATTTAACTTTTGATGCAATTTGATGCAAACACAATGCTTTTGGTTTTTATCAAGTTTAGAACCAACTTATTATTCCGTACCTACTTTATGACCAATTGTATTTCCTCATCCAATGCAGTAGACAACTGCTTAATTTATGTTGCAGGTAAATATAATGTTTTATCATCTGCATACATGACTGTCCATGCACACTTTAAAACAAGAGGAAGATCATTGGTCTTAAACAACTTCCTTGAGGCACAGCACATTGCAACTCTTTCACATCTGAATAACTTCCATTATAAAATACACATTGTCACATTAGACAGTTAACTTTTAAACCAATGCACAGTATGAGAAGTAAATTTGTAACATTTCAGTTTATCCAGCAATAATTTATGATCCACTACATCAAAAGCTGAGCTAAAATCTAACAATATTGCTCCTACAAAGTTATTGTCATCAATCTGTGCTCTCTCAACATAAATGCTGAAAATTAGAGAGCAAATTATTATCCTTAAATAATAATTGAATTTGCTCACAAACTATCATTTTCAATACTTTGCTAAGAACTGGTTGCAAACTTATTGGTCGACTATTATGACCATTGAAACCCAGTGCTTTCTGTAGATGAATAACCTTTGCATCTTTCCAAGCTAAAGGAAAAATCCCTTTTTCAATACTGATATTAAAGATGTGGCAAACTGGTTCTGCCAAACAACATTTCTTCTCTTAATTTATCAACTATATTTGTGAAAAAATCATTAAAATAATTTCCAATTTCATATGGTTTAAAAATGGTTAAAAATGAGTAAAAGAAGGAATTTGACTTGATTTCCTATCCATTAATGAAATGAGTGTACTCCACATTTTTTTACAATCATATTTACATTCACTTATTTTAATTTTGTAAAACAATATTTTCTTTTTCCTATTAATTTTAGTTACTTGATTTCTTAATTTGCAATAGACGTCCCAATCCTCCTTGTTCCCAGTTCTGTTTGCTGTATACCCTTTGCCATCTCTCTCAAACATAATGTTTTTCAACTCATTAACAATCCATAACATTCTTCACTGTAAATTTTTTCATAGGTGCATGTTTGTCCACCAAAGGGTAAAATAATCTTTCAAATGCTGACAATGCATTATCAGGATGAACTTCCTTATAAACATCAATCCAACATACATTATTTACATTCTTGACTGAATCTCTTATAAGATCTTTTATAAATTACTTTTGGTTCCCTAAGTTTTCAAAGTGTTTACATGCTTTCTAAATAAAACATAGGCTAATATCTTTTTACGCATGTGCTTACGCAAAGGCCTTAAACCGCTTGAACCCCGATAAATACTGCTTGCAGCTTTAATTTAAATTACATTTGAAAAACCTCCACAATAAAACCATTTTAATAGTTTCATGATATTGGTGATTGCAAAGAATAATCAAATGTATTTCTCTGTTTATTTTAAACTTACAGGAACCTGCACACAATCTTCATGCACCCATCAGTATCACTTTGTAAATGATTCAAAGACCTGGACTGAAGCTCAGAGACACTGCAGAGAGAAATACACTGATCTGGCCACCATTGATAACATGGAGGAAATGAACAGGCTCATTAAAACAGTACATAGGCCTTACTATGGCTCAGCTTGGATTGGTCTCTATGATGATCTGAACAGCTGGAAATGGTCTATGGACAATGCAAGTTTAGAAGGAGGATTTAAAAGCTGGTATGTCCAGCAACCAATGAACCCAGGTGGACAGAGTCTGTGTGTGGACATGTCATATTATTGGGGAACATGGCGTGAAATCTCTTGTTACTATACACTTCCATTTGTTTGCTATGATGGTGAGAACTCCTGTTGACTTTTTAAAGTTTTTAGAACAATATATTTATGATACCATGGATACATCACATACACATTTATTCCCTGCAGGAAGAGTGAATGCTAGTACAAGTTACGTGCTTGTTTACCAGTACAAAACCTGGACTGAAGCTCAGAGTTACTGCAGAGAACATCACACAGACCTCGTCAGTATCAGGAATGAGACTGAAAACCTCAAACTTCAGTCATTACAGTATTTTTCCGATTTTTGGATTGGATTGTACAGAACCAGATCTTGGTCAGATCAGAGCAACTCTTCATTCAGTAACTGGAGGACAGGACAGCCAGATAATGCTGGAAACAGTGAAAACTGCACTGCAATGTCATTTAGAGACTCTGGGAGCTGGACAGATGAAAACTGCAATACTGCATTATCTTTCATTTGCTACAGTGGTGAGTATTACATGCACCTCCGTTAAGAAATGCACAAGGTTGACTTTTAAGTGTACACCACTCTCTGGCAGACAGACGTTATTTATTTAGAAATGTTATTCAACATTTCCAGATTTATTTTTTCATCATATTTTAAAAAGATATGTGTGACACTAGTTACAATCACTATTGTACTAATTGTACTAGTACAATTAGTTAACTACATTATTTAACATGAACTAAAAAAAAAAAAAACCTTCTAATGCATTTGTTAATCTTACTTAATGTGAATTTCAACATTTATTAAAAAACATTATTATAAAAAAAAAAAAATTAATGAACCTGAGCTAGCATTAATGTACTGGTCTGTTAACGTTAGTTAACGGCACTTTATTTTAAAGTGTTACCAAAATATGTAAAATATATATTTTGATCCTCTTATTTAGTCTACAAACACTCTACAAAAGTCCATTGATTCCAAATCCAAAATGTCCTTACAAATATTCTTTATCATGCACCTTTTTCCCACCTTGCCAGCATTAGCATCATCCCGGGAGTATCACTTTGTGAAGGAGTCTAAGACCTGGACTAAAGCTCAGAGACACTGCAGAGAGAATTACACTGATCTGGCCACCATTGATAACATGGAGGAAATGAACAGGCTGATAAACACAGTTAATGGGAGTTACAATGGCTCAGCCTGGATTGGACAGTATGATGATGTGAACAGCTGGAGATGGTCATTGGAAAACAATGATTTCTATCAGGATGGAGAGAGAGATTTCAGGAACTGGTATCAAGAATCCAACAATAAGCCGAATGAACTGTGTGTTTACATGGATTATAATGGAAACTGGTTTAATTCATCATGTGAAAATTATTACTCATTTGTTTGCTACAATGGTAAGACATTATAAGTAAAAAAAAAAAATTGTGTGTGTGTATATATCTTCTTTTGCTTTGAGATTTGTCAAAAAAGGAATTTTCAGTCCTGAAAGATCTTGAAGTGTTCAATATTTTTCTTCCACATTTAAACCCCAAATTATTGGGAGAAAAAGGAAATTACTGGCTAATTAGTAATGTTTTTTGTTTTCAAAATGTATTTTATTATATAGCTATAAATTTGACAAATAACAAATAAATTGACTGATTTTCATCCACTAAATTTTATCTTAGGTACAGAAAACGCCGCTCAGAAGTATGTTTTTGTAAATGAGAGAAGGACCTGGACTGGAGCTCAGAGATACTGCAGAGAGAATTACACAGACCTGGCCAGTGTGAGAGATGAGGCAGAGCGTCAACAGATACGGAATGTTAAACGTTATTATTCTGGTTATAATGTGTGGATTGGTCTGCACAGAAACAGACTGTGGTCAGATCAGAGCAGCTCTTCCTTCACATATTGGCTGCCATATACTCCAGGTGATATTGCACAACCAGATAATGGTGTAAATGTCCCAGGACAGCAGGGAGCTCAACACTGCACAGCTGTGTCTCTAAAATACTTTGGTCAGTGGACGGATGAAAACTGCTTTGCCAGTTTGCCTTTCTTCTGTTACAGTGGTGAGCAAATGCACCTTCTGTAATGAATTAAAATAATAAAATAATAAGCATCAGGGGAAAAAACAAGCAAATTTATTACATTCAATTGTTGATGTTAATATGCCATTGTTATTTATGTAATTCACAAACTTTTATGCTAATGCTCTCTGTCTTCTATTTGCTTTCTGGTGAACATGATGATCATCATATTGACCCATCAATTCAGATGTATATGGTATGTTTGTGGAGATATGTGCTGTTCCCTTTCGTTGTCACTCCGAGTTCCGTCGGATGACGACGAATGGGGTTTCGCTTAGAAAGCCAATCGACTTCGAGTACTACAAAACGAGCCAATGGCAAAGAAATGCCATGGGTCTGCGGATTTTGCATTGTGTAACTCCGCCTCACCTCGTGGGTATTTAAGGAGAACGCTGGCAGCAAAAAGGCATGTTTTCGCTTCGGAGCCAAGTTGATCCTTCGTTCCACAAGCCATTCCTGTACTGTCAGTTCTTCAAGACGAGCGAGATTCTCTGGTGTTGGTGTGACGGCGATCTCCGGCGAGCGCGCACTTCCTGCTTGTCTGTCTGTGGTTTGACAGCGAGTGTGTTTCTCCCCGGGCGCTTCAACACAGTCAGAGCTTCTTTCCTCTCACAAAAGAGCTTACACGCGGCACGTCTTTTTAAAGATGCCTCGCCCGTGCACTTCTGGTTGCGGTAGACTCGTTGCCGACTCTGATGGGCACGAGCGTTGCATAGTGTGTTTGGGCATTGATCACACTAGAGCAGCGCTCGTGGATGACTCATGTTCTCTCTGCGGGAACATGACCATCGCAGCACTACGATCGAGACTCAGTGATCTCGCAAGAGTGAGAGTCCCCTCATCCACACCCCGATCTACTGATTCTAGAAATAGAGCTAGTACTTCGGCTGGTGGCCAGGGTGATCTGAGGGTGACGGTTTGGAACAAAGCGCCGACTATCAGTCCGTGCCCAGCCGCACCCTCTCCAGTGTTGCAACCCGTGAGTGCTCAGGGGATTTCTGCGGGATCATCTTCGGGTGTCCCGCGGGTTTCCTTTGGCGCTCCAGAGGAGGACGCGATGTCTATCGCTGCATCACAAGGTGGGTCTGAATCTTCTGGAAGTGAAGACTCATCACAGCTGCCACCTTCGGGTGTGAGCACAGTTGTGCCAGAGTCTGACCCAGAGATGTCTGGGTCAGCCACACCGCCTCGCTGCCCCACCGACGGGAAGTCTGTGGTTCGCATGACCCCGCTGGTACAGTCCTTGGGAGCCTGGCTAGAGCTTCCCAACCTGTCCCGCTAGGTCGCGCGAACGATCAGGCTCGGCTACGCGATTCAGTTCGCGCGGTCTCCTGCCCGCTTCAGGGGAGTCCGCTCCACTATGGTCGGTGGCAATGCCCCTATCATGAGAGCGGAGGTTGCCACCCTGCTGGCGAAGGGTGCGATCGAGACCGTCCCTCCAGCCGAAATGAGGACCGGCTTCTACAGCCCGTACTTCATTGTCCCGAAGATAACCGGTGGGTTACGGCCAATCCTGGACCTGCGCGTTCTGAACCGCTCCCTTCACAGGCTGCCGTTCAAGATGCTCACCGCCAAACGCGTTTTCGAATGTGTGCGGCACCAGGATTGGTTTGCAGCGATCGACCTGAAGGACGCCTACTTTCATGTCTCCATCCTCCCTCGACACAGACCGTTCCTGCGGTTTGCTTTCGAGGGGCAGGCATATCAGTACGCAGTTCTCACATTCGGGCTAGCCCTGTCTCCTCGCGTCTTCACGAAGGTCGTCGAGGCAGCCCTTGTTCCCCTCTGGGAACACGGGGTTCGCATTCTGAATTATCTCGACGACTGGCTAATTCTAGCTCACTCTCGAGATCAGCTTTGCGAACACAGGGACTTGGTGCTCCGCCATGTAGCCCGTCTGGGCCTTCGGGTCAACTGGGAGAAGAGCAAACTTTGCCCTGTGCAGAGGATCTCTTTTCTCGGTATGGAGATCGACTCGGTCGCCATGTCCGCGCAGCTTACAAGCGAGCGCGCGCAGTCACTGCTGACTTGCCTGAGACAGTTCGAGGGCAAGAGTGTGGTTCCACTGAAACTTTTTCAGAGGCTCCTGGGGCATATGGCATCTGCAGCCGTGGCAACACCGCTCGGATTACTTCATATAAGACCGCTTCAGCTTTGGCTTCGCGACCGAGTCCCGAGGTGGGCATGGCAACACGGCACTCTCCGAGTACCAGTTACTCCGACCTGCCGTCAGACCTTCACCCCGTGGTCGAACCTCAGTTTTCTACGGGCCGGAGTGCCCTTGGAACGAGCTTCCCGGCATATTGTTGTAACGACAGATGCCTCTACCACGGGCTGGGGTGCCATGAGCAATGGACGTGCTGCCGCGGGCTCCTGGACAGGACCCCACCGCCTATGGCACGTCAATTGCCTCGAGTTGCTGGCTGTAGAGCTCGCCCTGCGCCGCTTCCGAGCCGTGCTCAGGGGCCAGCATGTACTAGTCCGTTCAGACAATACCGCGACCGTAGCGTACATCAACCGTCAAGGTGGTCTGCGCTCCCGCCGTATGTCGCAACTCGCCCGCCACCTCCTCTTATGGAGTCAGAAGCATCTGAGGTCGCTTCGTGCCATTTATATCCCCGGAGCCCTGAACTGTGCAGCCGACGAGCTCTCACGGCTTCAGCCCCTCCCGGGAGATTGGCGACTCCATCCCCAGTCTGTTCAGCTGATTTGGGACCAGTTCGGGGACGCACAGATAGATCTGTTTGCCTCTCACGACTCGACCCATTGCGCCCTGTATTATTCCCTGACCGAGGGCACGCTCGGCACGGATGCACTGGCGCACAGCTGGCCGCGGGGCCGCAAATATGCGTTTCCCCCAGTGAGCCTTCTTGCGCAATTCCTGCGCAAGGTCAGGGAGGACGAGGAGCAGGTCACTCTGGTCGCGCCGTACTGGCCCACCCGGACCTGGTTCTCCGAACTCATACTCCTCGCAACAGCACCTCCTTGGCCGATTCCCCTGAGGAAGGACCTCCTTTCTCAGGGACGGGGCAATCTATGGCACCCTCGTCCCGATCTTTGGAACCTCCACGTGTGGCTCCTGGACGGGACGAGGCAGGTTTGAGTACCCTACCACCAGCGGTGGTGGCTACCATCACTTCCGCTAGAGCGACGTCCACGAGACACGTCTATGCGTTGAAGTGGAACCTCTTCGTCAACTGGTGCTCTTCTCACCGAGAAGACCCCCGGAGATGTTCGATCAGTGTCGTGCTTTCCTTTCTTCAAGAAGGGTTGGAGCGAAGGCTGTCTCCCTCCACCCTCAAGGTCTATGTCGCCGCCATTGCCGCACATCATGACCCAATAGAAGGTAAGTCTGTGGGGAAGCATGACCTGATCGTCAGGTTCCTGAGAGGAGCGAGGAGACTGAATCCTCCTCGCCCTCCTCTCGTACCCTCTTGGGACCTCGCAGTGGTCTTAACTGCCCTGCGCAGCGCTCCCTTTGAGCCTTTGCAGTCGGTCGAGCTTAACTTCCTGTCAATGAAGACAGCGCTTCTGACTGCATTGGCCTCCATCAAGAGGGTAGGGGACCTGCACGCATTCTCCGTTGACGAAGCGTGCTTGGAATTCGGGCCAGCTTACTCTCACGTGATCCTGAGACCCCGGCCTGGATATGTGCCCAAGGTTCCTACCACTCCCTTCCGGGACCAGGTGGTGAACCTGCAAGCGCTGCCCCCGGAGGAGGCAGACCCAGCCTTGGCACTGCTCTGTCCAGTACGTGCTCTTCGCATCTATGTAGACAGAACGCAGTGTTTCAGGACCTCAGACCAGCTCTTTGTCTGTTATGGTGGGAAGCTGAAGGGAAAGGCTCTCTCCAAGCAAAGGTTGTCTCACTGGATAGTGGACGCCATTGCTTTGGCATACCAGCAGCAAGGTCGACCATGCCCCCTTGGTGTGACCGCACACTCCACCCAGAGTGTGGCGTCCTCTTGGGCTCTAGCGCATGGCGCCTCGCTAACAGACATCTGCAGAGCTGCAGGCTGGGCGACACCTAACACATTCGCCAGATTCTACAATCTCCGAGTGGAGCCAGTGTCCTCTCATGTACTCGCTTCAACCAGCTAGTACCGGACCCGCTCAGGTGTCTTCGCTTGCTCACCATTCCACTCCACGGACTGGATACGTGCGATATTCTCCTCAGGTGAGCTTCCCCGAAAGCCCTGAGTTCCTCCAGCACTGCTGACGCTGGCGCCAGTGTCTATTGCCTGCGCGTCGGCTAGGTGCCTTCCGTGTGCATGGTACCTCCTCTGAGCTACCCCCACATGCGTATTTCCACTGTAAGCCTCTCTGAGCATGTGTCTTTCCCTTGGCAAGCCACCTTGCCACCCCTGGGGTTGAAATATTCCACCTGCGGCTGGACACCCCAGTGATTCCCCATATGCATCCCTCGGGTCATATGTGTATTCTTAAGTCCCCCCCTCTGGGTTGGCAGTAATTGCATATTCCCCCAAAATCTGGAATATACTCCCCAGTGTACCTTGGTATTCCTGTGCTAAATAGGAGTTCTTCGTCCGTGCTAGTCTCACGACAGGGATCTCAGATTTACGCAGGGCACTGGAAGACAGCCGAAAAGGTGGCGTGATTAGACTGGATCCCCATTCGTCGTCATCCGACGGAACTCGGAGTGACAACGAAGGGGAACGTCTCGGTTACGGATGTAACCCTCGTTCCCTGAGCTCAGGCGATCCCCGCGGTACAGCGGAAAGTGGCAGGAAGATGGAACGTCTCCGTTCCCTACTCAGGGAACGAGGGTTACATCTGTAACCAAGACGTTCCGTCTTCCTGCCACTTTCCGCTGTACCGCGGGGATCGCCTTAGCTCAGTCTTGGCTCCTCAGCGAAGAAACATTCCTTTTTGCTGCCAGCGTTCTCCTTAAATACCCACAAGGTGAGGCGGAGTTACGCTATGCAAAATCCGCAGACCCATGGCATTTCTTTGCCATTGGCTCGTTTTGTAGTACTCGAAGTCG